AAAATAAGCCACGAAAACATAATCCCAATCCCAACCTGACCCCATGAAACCCCAACCTCCCAATACCCCTGGCCAGGATCAGTCACTGCGGTCCACCCGCCCACGCTCCACACCGCCAGCGCTTACGGGATCCTCCCCCCGCAAAAAAATGACAACCTAAAACAACCCTAAACCCTAAACCCTAGAGAAACCCGAAACCCAATTAAGAGCTTCAGGTTGTCGTTCTGGTTCCGAGAACGAGGAAGCGCAGAACGAGGAAGCGCTGCCGAAGGTTCAGCAGCCGTACGAGACCCAGCTCAGGTTCGACCGCGGGTCATGGATGCTGAGCCGTCAGTGGGAGAACGGGCTGGTGTTCGAAAGCTTGCTGCCCGAGATCAGCCAGGATGGCGTTGGCTTTTACACGCTGTCAAAGAACGAGAGCGGTGACGACATGATCACCCAGGGCATTGAGTTGATGAATACCTTGGACCTCTTCCCTTACGAAGACGCTGAGATGGAGATGTTTGCTCCCCCCGATGAGGAGGATAAGAACAGCGAGCTGGGCCCCTAGTCTCAATTTGCTACCGCAAACCTCATCAATCGGCAGTTTCCATCAGACTCAATAAGCCTCCTCGGCAGGCCTTAACAAGCCTCTTGAGTAAACCTGACGTATCCTCAACAAGCCCAGCCTTTGGAGTAAGACCGAAGATAACTTAAATAGTATCATCACAAGACACCTCAATAGTTCTCAATAAGCCTCCTCAGCAAGCCTTAACAAGGCTCTTGAGTAAGCCTGACGAAGCCTCAATAAGCCCTGCGTTTGGAGTAAGCCCGAAGAAACCTCAATACTCCTATTAACTTCACTCAAGAATAGCCCTCTCAATAAGCCTCAATAAGCCTCAATAAACCCTCAATATGTTTTCAACAACAAGCTTAAATAAAGCTTCGATAGCCTCTCGAACTGACCTTTGGTGCTATTAAGCGTTGCAGCCCTGTTTTCGAAGGTGAGAGTCCCCAGCCACCCGACGACGAGGAGGAGGATGAGGAGCCAGGGCAGAAGCCGGAGGAGGCCGACTTGATGCAGGAAGACGGTGTCCCCTTCTCGGAAGAGGACGAGGACGAGGACGAGAGCAACAAACAGGTGCTAGCCCCTGGCATGGCGCCACGGTTCAAGGCATTGCTTGGCATGGAGGAGGATCGCCCTAAAGAGCCGTCTCTCCAGCTGATCCGCGACAAGTTGACGTTGTTTGCTGGTGGTGGCACACATGTTTTTCAGGAGGATTGGGCCCAACGACTTCTTGCACGCGAGGTGATCTACCCAATCGACCCCATGTCGCAGACCTCCCCAAAGCCACTCGGCCCATTCGAGCCGAACCCGCCCTAACCTAGGTCCGTAGTTACCCGATTGAGTGCTTTGAGATATTGTTGAGGCCAGTATTGCCAGCTCCAGAAGAAGATCTGGAGCCAAGTGAGCCTACTCGCGCAAACCGGTCTCCTCGAATCCCTCCGAAGAACCTGAAGGAGGCAGCCCGTGAGCTGAAGGCAAGAGGAAAAACCAAGCTTTTGAAGCCCGCTAACCCTGAGTAGTTTGCTTTCGGTACAGTAGCCTGAGCCAGTTTGTGGCAGAGGCGCATGATGCGCCTTCAACAGACAAGGGGGCCTGCGCTGTTTTGCTTTCTGCATGCCGATGCGCTGCCTTATGATACTTCTTGCACAGACTGTGTCTTCGCAAGCTTGTCAAATACCTTTCTGTACTGCAAGGAAGCACGGATTGAAAGAAATATTGCTTTGACCGCACAGCTGCGCCCCTTGATTGATCTGATATGACCCGAGCCCAAAAGCGTTACTGCCCAGGTCCTCGCCGAGCAACATCTGGGCCAGGAGAGCATCGACGCCCGCTGCCTCAGGCCGAGAACCCCTAAAACTATAAGTTCTATTAAACTTTCGGTGTTATGGGGGCTGGTTTTTGGAGCACAGGCTGCTTATATAGATGGGTGGTCCGGTGCTCAATAGCACTCAATAGTGCTCAATAGTGCCCACAGCTCTCTGCCCTCTAGCATTTTCATTTAACCCCCGGACAAACCTCCAGTTTGGGCTCCGAAATGCGGGGGTTGGGTTTGAGGAGTCAGCTCATGGTTTGGGACGCCTTTGGGGTTTAGGGTTTGGGGTTTAGGGTTCGGGCTTATATAGATGGGTGGTCCGGTGCTCAATAGCACTCAATAGTGCTCAATAGTGCCCACAGCTCTCTGCCCTCTAGCATTTTCATTTAACCCCCGGACAAACCCTTAGTTTGGGCTCCGAAATGAGGGGGTTGGGTTTGAGGAGTCAGCTCATGGTTTGGGCCGCCTTTAGGGTTTAGGGTTTGGGGTTTAGGGTTTGGGGGTGTAGGGTTTAGGGGATGGGAGGGGGGGAGGAAGGGGTGCCACCCACCCTCACCCCACTCCATCACACTCGCCTTCAGCAGTGGCAGGACAATCCGTTCGTTGTCGAACACAGCTTTTGTGCCTCGTCAGCATGTAGCATATGACTCAAGCAGTTCTCAATTAGCCTCCCTACATGCAAGGGCCTGAGATGCGGGTTTAAGGTTTAGAGGGTTTAAGTTTAAGGTTTATTGTGAGGCCTCGATAGTGCTCTGGAAGGGGTTGGTGGGGGTTAAAAGGTTTTTTTGGGGGTGTTGGGTGGCTTTGTGGGGTTTCAGGGCATTGGGTGGTTTGGGTTATTTTGGGGGATCTGCACTGATTAACCTATGTCGACTGCAATTCAAGCCTCGCTGGGCTTCGCATCTTCCCCGGCCCATTCTTAAGGCCTCAATCATGAGCTTCGATATGCTGTCATCCTCGCAACCCCTGCCTCAATAAGCCTCAATGGCTCCCAATGGGTCTTATTCATTCGACTTTCACAGACTTCAAGAACTTTCAGCCCAACAGTATTCAACTGGCCTCCGTTCCTGGGCCAGAGGCCAAAATCAGCCTCAATTAGGCTCAATAGTGCTCAACACGCCTCATTGGTTGACTCGTAAGGGGTTTAGGGGTTTAGGGTTTACTGTATCTATAACTAGAAGCATAGAGGCTCGTCCAGGCTGAACCAGACACTACGGCTACCCAGCAGCTCGTCCTACGGCTACCCACCAGCTCTGCTTTTTAGTCGGGAATCTTGGTTGATGCCCATGATGTTGGTACCGGGTTTGCTGGGGAGCCGTGACAGAGGTGCGCGGAACCCAAGCAGAAACGAGCATCATGAGGGTTTGGGACCACAAATCTAAGAGCGTAAGCAACCTGCGCCCACAGGAAACGAGCATCATGAGCATCAGCCGGGTTTGGGGGGGCCACAAATCGAAGAGCGTAAGCAACCAGCCCCCACAGGAAACGAGCATCATGAGCATCAGCCGGGTTTGGGGGGCCCCAACCCGGCCATAGGGGGGCGCTTGGTGCGCTCGAGTTTAGAACCATCAATACACTATGCCCTCAACAAGGCTTCCATAGTCCTCAGCCCTAATCCCACATTAGACGTTCCAGTCTGTTTTGCCCTTGCCTCTGCCATTAATAAGCCAAAACCAGCCTCAATAAGCCTCAATAGTGCTCAACACGCCTCATTGGTTGATTCGGCGGCATTCGAATTTAGAACCATCAATACACTATGCCCTCAACAAGGCTTCCATAGTCCTCAGCCCCAATTTCAGATTAGCTGTTACAATATTTGTTCGCGGCCTTAGGTCATTGTGAAGGGCATCGCCCATGTCCTGGCGAGCCTCGCTGGATGCCCTTTGCAAAACTTCATTGTTGACCAGGAGAATCTGAAGGACCTCCAAGCCAAGCCTCCCGAAACGCCAGCCAAAGAGCGATTTTTCCTCAAGCTAGCCACGTGGAAGCATTGTCGTTTTTGAGCGTGTGCCGCCGGTGTTTTGCTGTCAGCCTGGCTTTTGAGGTGTCGGACGAGGAAGCAGTTCAGACACGTGCTTGCAACTTTATCATCGGCGTCCTCCACTGCCGCGGCTCCGTGGAGCCAGAGAGCCTGCATCCTACCTGGGGTGATCTGAAACGAGCTGTCGCTGCGGCCGGGAATATGCAAAGCGTTCTTCTGAAGGCGACCTTTTTAGCGAATTTTGGTTCCGGACCATTTCTGACCGGACGCGGACGCGTGGACATAGCCACGGCGGCCGAGAACTTGATGCAGCAGTGCTCTGATGAGCAGTTGGAGGAATGGGCTGAGCACGTCCAATTCGATCGCGCCGATGGTACTTTGGAGCGCACGGGTTTCACGCGAGCCGATTTTCTAGCATCGGACATCGTTCAGAAGAGAACACCTTTCGAGCCTTGGAGATTTTGATAGTAGGTTCCCACGGTCCCACGGGCCACTGCAGTTTAATCTTTGCTCACTTCACCCCAAAACAGAATCCTCAAGCACTAAAGCCTTAAAACCCTCAATAACCCTATATATAAACCCCAAACCCCAAAGCCCGAGCCCTAAAGCCCTAAAACCTTAGTGCCAGTGCATGTGGCATTCCAGCAGCCCAAGAGCGGCCACAGGGCATTGAGGGGGCTAGGGGCTTAGGGTGTTGTAGGGCTTAGGGGGTTTAGGTCTTTAGGGTTGAGGGTGTTCGGGTTTAGGGCTTAGGGTTTCAGTATTGGGGTTGGAGCCCACAGTTATACTCGTGTTAGCAAAAGAGTCCAGAGCCTTAACAAGCCTCGACAAGACTCAATAAGCCCCAATAAGCTTCAATAAGCTTCAACAAGAAACCTCAATAAGCCTGTTGACCTGCTGACAACTTCCCCTGAGCCCTCTATGATGCGAATTCTTGAAATGAGCGGTGCTCCGCAGGCGAAATTGAAATCATGGTTTGGAATCCGTGATTCTTTCGAAAGACCCCAGAGGGATTGGACCATCTTCCGGGAGACCATGCAGTACATCATTGACATGGGGCAGGTGGAGGTTGAGGACACAGGAGAGGCTAGGTGCTCAACAATCACGGGGCTTACTTACTGCCCCAAAACCCTAAACCCTTTGTCCCGAGCCCCGCCCAGGCAGCCGATGCAGAGGAGGAGAACGATGATGCCGAGCCGCGGCAGCCTGCAGAGAAGAGAATCCGCAACAGGTCAGATCTCCATCGAGAGTATGCTGGATTTTCACGTAGCGAACTGTGCCATGAGTTTCTGCTAGATGACAATCTGCAGAAAAGAATACGCCTACTGGTGGATGTCACGGAACCCCTGCACCGAGAATTTGTCACTCACCTTGATGAACACAAGGCAGGCGCTGATGGAATGTTGAAATGGCATGCACAAAGATCGACAGGTGCGTTTGTCAATCAAACCATTTGCGAGACATTGACTCTACTCAGCCAGGACTTCATGTGTGACAGGCGGGATATCTTTGAGGACAAACACGGTCTGGTGAAAGCTTTTCCAACCAGCCTATTCAATAAGCCAACTGCAGGTCTCAACAAGCCTCCTCTGCAAACCATTGAGATGTTGGGGGCCAACAAGCCTACTCAATAAGCCAACTGCAGGCCTCAATAAGCCAGCCCCAAACTCCCTAAACCCCAAACCCGAAACCCTAAACCCTAAACCCCTGAATCCCTAAACCCCAAACCCTAGCCCCTAAACGCCCGCTTGAATCCCAAAGTCCTCACGTTGGATTTCAAAAGGAAAAGAAGCTTTTGGGTTTCAAAAACTGGCCCCTTGAGGCTTCCAGAGGACATGAGAGAGTTTAGGGATTTAGGGTTTAGGGATTTAGGATTTAGGGTTTGGGGTTTGGGGTTTAGGGTTTAGGGTTTGGGATTTAGGGTTTGGGGTTTGGGGTCTAGGGTTTGGGGTTTAGGGTCGCACCCTCCTAAACCATTTAGATGTTGGGGCCCAATAAGCCTACTCAATAAGCCAACTGCAGGCCTCAATAAGCCTCCTAAACCGTTTAGATGCTGGGGCCCAATAAGCCTACTCAATAAGCCAACTGCAGGTCTCAACAAGCCTCCTCATTTAGATGTTGGGGCCCAAGAAGCCTACTCAATAAGCCAACTGCAGGCCTCAACAAGCCTCCTCATTTAGATGTTGGGGCCAAAGAAGCCTACTCAATAAGCCAACTGCAGGCCTCTATAAGCTTCCTCGATAAACAATTGGTGTCCATAAGCTTCAAACAAGCGCCCTCGATAAGCCAGTGGGAGGTTGGGATTGCAGCCGGCCCGCGCAGAGCCGTTGCCACGGGAAGCATGCGCCGATGACCTGATTTTGGTGCAAGACTTCTATGAGTTGGCAGTGGAACTCGCCTCGAACAGAGCATGGAGCCAAGCCTTCTACCAGAATTGCTTGCCTTTCAAGCTTAGCCAGCTCTTCCTGCCGGATGATCGGCTGGGCCCACTGGCAGAGGAGCTAAGTCAAATGGCTACCAAGCTGATTGAACTAGAAGCTGCCGTGGTGCAATTTCCTGCTGACAGCAAGCTACAGCTCTTGGTCAATGATATCGGGACACTGTCGTGGCCTTTCGTGCGTGAGATCATCCAAACTGGAGAGCACTGTAATTGGGATGTCAGGGACAGGGACCTCCGCGAGTTAGCGTTTCAAATGGCCCGCGGGCCGGGGGAAACCAAATCTTCCTTAGAAAATACGTTTGGATTCCTGCAGGAGTGCCTTTGCCAGTAGAAGTTTTGCGGCTCCTCAATTATATTAAATAAGGATGATAACCTAAGCTGCATTGCCCTGAAGTTCTGAAGGACACAGCCCAAAGGCAGTCGAAAGCCCTCCGCATGAGCCCATTCAGCCGCCACAGCTATGCGGTCGCCAGTCCATTTCCAGATGCAGGCGGTTCTGCCCAGATCAGACCGTGCCGGGAAGACCTACTTGCCTTCGACCCGGCCCAAGCAAAGGAGTATCTCATGGACAACAGCCCCTACAAGGCCGTGTCATTGATTCCGACGGAAAGTATCAGCCCCGACAAGATCGCTAAATGCTGGCGAAAAGCGGGGTATCATGCAAACCGAGATGCGTCGGCAGGCATGGCGATGCTGCTGCAAGCCCCAAGCCTGCCCATGTTGCGGGCGGATTTGCCCAGAAGCTGGTGTGGCAACTTGCAAGCACTTGCTTAAGCCCGAGCACCCCATTAGGGTTGCGGGATCTTCAGAAAAAAATTGGAGAAGGGCTAGGCTCCGTGTGTTTAGGGTTTTGAGGCTTAGGGTTTATAAGAGGTTAATGGTTGGGGGTTGTCTCAGCTTGCCCTTTCCAGATTCCAACCTCGACAAGTCTAATCCTCCAAAGTAAAAGCCCATAGTCTGACTTCTTTCAGGCGCGCTGCTGGCGCGTGGCGTGGTGTTCCAGGACGTGGAGCAAGACCAGTACATCCTCTCGCTGGGGTACAAGAAGTGGGCCACACTGGCCCTGGACATCCAACCTACCGTCCTGAATCACGAGGCTTTCAGTTTTGGGGCGTTGGGCAGCAGTGACCACGGAATCTCAATTGTGCCCATTAGTCCTCAATAGTGTTCTTTCGAGGGACCGCTGAACCTCAATTGTGCCCATTAGTCCTCAATAGTGTTCTTTCGAGGGACCACTGAACCTCAACTGTACTCAACAGTGCTCAATAGTGCTCAATAATGTTCAATAGTCTTCAATAAGGCTGATCGTGCTCCAGAGTCCTCGTTTCATCTACACAACTCTACACACATCGGCTTCCGCACACCCGGGCCACTGAACATCAATCACCTTTTGAATTTTGAGCCAGGTCTATTTCTTCATGGATTTTGCCCCCCAGACCACACAGCCTCGCTGGATTTTCAACTTCGAGTGCGGCGAGAGCTCGCGATTCCGTTGTGTGCCTACGTCCGTCCAGTGCCCCGCGACATGCCCAGGCTATGCGCAGATGTGCCCCCTCAAACAATCCGGCGTCACACAGCCACTGGTGCAGGCCTGGGGGTTGAGATGGTAAACAGGGGCCCAGGTCTCATTCAATTCGCGCAGGTGGGTTCAGGGTTCATGCGTAAAGCAACGGGCAGGCGGCACTGCAAAGACGCCAGTGGTTCACGCGTCAAGAGATTCAGCTCATGATGGCTGCCGACAAAGTTGAACATCCTGCCAGAGGATCAGGGTCAGGAAAACGGGGCGCCATCCTGAAGATTGACCTCCTGCGTGCCTTGGTCCAACATCATCTCCCAGACTGGTCAGAACAGCAGAAAGAGGAAATCTGTAAAGGAATGTGCCAAGAGAGGAAGCAAACGGAGGGCGTTTCCCAGTCAGTGCTGGAGGCCGTCGCCCAACTGGATGAGGAAAACAGAAAACACTTCAAAGAAGTGAAGCGAGATGCCAAAGAGAAACTAGCTCAGCTGGAAAAAGACAAGCAGATCAAAGAGAAATTGAGGGACACACCGGCCCCCCCTGCGGCAGACAAGAACGACAAACCACCAGCTCGAGAGTCTCCGGAGCCACCTGCTGTACCAGAACCTGTGGAGCCTGCCCCCGAAGTACCGCCTGCTGGCCCAGCAATGCCCGCGGCTCCGGACCCAGCAATGCCTGCAGATCCTGCTTCGCTGCCCCACGCTGCTGGTCCAATGGCCGTGCTCCCTGATGCTGTGGCACCGTCGCCGGCACGTTCGCGACGAGACTCTGTCTGACTTTATTTTGTTCGGGGTTGAGGCGGGAGGAAAAGGGCGGGCAGAGAGGCGTGCGGGTGCTGCTCAGGGTAATTATCATGGACCCTTTCGGAGTGATTTCATGGCTATCAAAGACTATTGAGGCTTATTGAGGTGTGTTTGTGGGAGGGTTCTTGCGGAGAAATGGAGGGGTTGAGAACTATTGAGGACAGTACCTTAATCAAGCCCAAATGACCGAAGGAGCACCTGCAGATCGGCAAGGTCCTGCTGCATCTCGGGTGACGGCGCCTGCCGAGCTGCGAGATCTACTCCCAAATGCAGACGGTTTGTACTTTCATTGGGAGCCACAGCACCGTCGCGTTCGGGTTTCGTTCAAGCGCGACTCGGCTCTTTTAACACATTTTGGTTGTCAACAGCCCTCGTGATTGCCCACAGCAATGCAGCAAGGATTGCCCGAGCTACATCAGAGGACCAAGACCTGCACTTGGCCGAGTGCAGTCATCCAACGTGACAGGATCAATGCTTGCATTGTGGTGTTCGCGTTCGCGGAGGAAACTTACCACCGTTGCTACAAGGACAGTGAGCACTACAATTCAGAATATCGTGCGTACCCCGGCAGATACTGGGTTTTCACAGCCTCCAGGAGGCCCAATAAGAATGTTGAAGGGTGGCTTTAATTGGGTATCCGCGGCCTCAATAGTGCTCAATAGGCTTTTTGGGTGCTTAAGGCCTCATTTAATACCCCGGACTGGAATCAGACTCCGACAGCCTCCCGATTGCCCCCTGAACAAGCATTAAATTAGCAGCCCTGAGACCGCGGAGTTTCAGGCCAGCCAGAGATGTGTTGGCTGTTCAGATTGACTCACTCATGCAACGGCTCCGTCGCGAAGCAGAACGTGATCGTGCTCCTGCTGTTGCCCCTGACCCTCGCTAGCTAGTGTTTCACCGAGCGCCAGCCTCAGGCAGTGCGAAAAGCGCATAAGCTCGCCGAATTCAGAGGCATAGCTGGGCGGCTGGGATAAGGTTTAGGGCACAGGGTCTTTAGGGCTTAGAGCTTAAATTTAGTGTGTGGGGCCGGAAAGTCGTACCAAGTTGTGCCTGAAGCTTGGAGCCGCGAAGTGGGTCAAGCTGGGCAGCAAGGGCAGCAGTTAAGTCCTTCGTGAAAAATGGTGTCTCCATCTCCTGACAGTGTCTCAATAAGACAGACCCTAAGACCCCTCAATAAGCCTTAATAGTGCCTCAATAAGCCCCCTCAATAAGCCTTAATAGTGCCTCAATAAAGTCCCCGCGGCGAAGCCTCAATAAGCAGTATTAGCGCTCAATAGGCACTCGTTAGCGCAAGCAAGCCTTAACGAAGCGAGTTGAAGGCTTCAATCCCCGCTCGTTAAGGATCAATGTGCCTGAAGTATTGGCAGTGCCAGCACATTTGGTACCTTAACGAACACTGTTGAGAAATTCAACTTTGGGGGCCCCCCTGTGGGGTCCCCCCCCAAATGCTCTATGATCAAAGGGATCTACTACTACTACTACTACTACTGCTACTGCTGCTACTACTACTACTACTACTACTACGACTACTACTAATACTGCTTCTGCTTCTGCTTCTACTTCTACTTCTACTTCTACTTCTACTTCTACTTCTACTTCTACTTCTACTACTTCTACACTAGTAGCTACTACTACTACTACTACTGCTACTGCTACTACTACTACTACTACTACTACTAGTATTTCTTCTTCTACTTAAGTATGTTTAGCAGTACTGCTCTGCAATTTGCTTCTACTTGACTATCGTTGCCAATTGTGTCTGATTTAACTCGACTTACTAGCATGGGCATATTTGCATGCTTATTCTTGTTCTTAGAAGTGTTATATTATATAAATAATTTACCTACACATTCATATATGCAGTATTTAATATATATATATAATATTATATATTCTATATATATATGTGTATATATATATATTATCAGAAATACATATATTCTTGTAATGTGTACATCAATAAAGAGACACAGAGAGAGATATGCATATATATATATAGATAGATACCTATCTTGCACATGACTGGCTTGTTCATGCATTTCTGAGGAAGAAGATTCTCTGCCAGCATCTGCTACCACACCAGGTGACTCGCCTCCTGTGAAGACTTCCCTACAGCCTTGCCCAGGTGCTGCTATGCAGGACTTAGGACCGTTGGGCCTGACAGGACGTTGGTTGGCTCTTCAAGGGACCCAGCCGAAGCCTGCAGTCGAGGCATCGGAGAAGCCTCTGCTGCAGCGAAGCCAGTGCATGGATGCAGAGGATGTGGAGACCGAGGAGGATGTGGACATGGACAACAAGACGGTTTTTTACGAGCGCGATGAGCAGGCCTCCTTGGTGGAATCTGCAAAGGAGTGTGAAGCTTCCAAGATGGAAGCTGATGAGGCTTCCGTGATGGAGGCTGGGGCTCAGGACGGGTTCATCGAGATGGAGCTTCATGTGGAGCATGCAAAGGAGTGTGAAGCCTCCTTGATGGAAGCTGATGAGGATGGCAAGGCTTCCTTCATGGAGGCTGGGGCCCACGAGGAGGGGTTCACCGACATGGAGCTTCAGGTGGACCATGCAGAGGAGTGTGAAGCCTCCTTGATGGAAGCTGGTGAGGATGGCAAGGCTTCGGAGGCTGGGGCCCACGAGGAGGGGTTCACCGAGATGGAGCTTCAGGAGGACCATGCAGAGGAGTGTGAAGCATCCTTGATGGAAGCTGGGGAGGTCCAGGAGGAGAAGGCTACCGAGATGGATTTTCCCGAGGGCAATGCAGAGGCTATGGGAAAGGATGGCGACGCTGTTACCATGGATGATCCGTGTCGCAAGATTCTTACAATCCAGCAAGTCCGAAACAACAGGAGCAGCATGGATCAAAAGAAGCCCCATGAGTATGTGGCCGTGGACAAGCCAGATGGATGGGACCAGTTGGCTGCATGTCATGAGCCCCCAGCTCCCAAGAAAAAAGGCCGAAAGCCAAAGGCTGAGGAAGCTGCACCGAAGGCTGCTGGGAAGCCTGATGAGGCAGACGAGAATCCGAAGGCGGCAGCAGCAAAGGTGAAAGCAAAGGGCAAGGCTAAGAGCAAGGCCTCTAAGGCTGCAGCTGCTGAGGCCGATGGGGCCAAGACTGGTCGTGGCTGTGCAGCTGGAGAAAAGAAGGCCAATTCCAAGCCTAAGGGAAAGGCTCAGGAGGCAGATGGGGCTGAGAAGCGAGAGCCCAAAGCGAAGGCAAAGCCCAAGTCCAAGGTGAAGCGTGCTGAGGAGGCAGATGGAGCTGAGAAGCGAGAGCCCAGAGGGAAGGCAAAAACCAAGTCCAAAGTGAAGCCTGCTAAGGAGGCAGATGGGGCTGGGAAGC